GACGGAGGTCAAGAGACAGGTGTCACACCAGCACGGACGGTGGAGGAAGAGCTGGACAACTGGGACGAAAACGCACCAGATGATGCCTGGGATGAAGACGACGATACGACCGCAACGAGCGGGCAGCACACGAAAGTGACCCCTTCAACGAGCTCTGTGGCGAGCGAGGAACCACCCACGAAAGTTGCAGTAGACTGACCAGGCAGGACGGAGGTGTCTAGTATATGTTAGGAACGGGATGAGAAGACACGGGCTACATGAAATATTCAGCTGATTGAATCGAAACACAAATATATCCACGGAATGTACGACTATTGTCCTGCAACGCGCGTCTGGGCAGATGGCGATGATTTAGACCTTTGTCAGAAATAGTAATGAAGAGAATCGACCGGAAATCATCGAATCACTCGTTCATGACGCAGAGAAGTATATACCACACTGTTTCTTGGGATTGACTGGTTGCTATTAGTAGCGAAGCAGGCTACTCTCTGGCAATGCTTCGTTGGCCTTGCTGATCCTGCCTTTCGTAATCTCGATATTCGAGTCTTGGAATACCTGACTACCCTCGTACATTGCTGTGTTCGTTTCGCTTCATAAACATGATGGTCCAATTCCACGAAGAGTTGGCTAGTATTTGTTCTCGTCCCCCTTGAATGCTCCATCTCGCCATTGAAAGCCCACGTTGTTCCCCCACCGGTTTGCAGATCTAGTCCTGACAATCATTCCTTGTCCCTGTCCATCGTGTCTCATGTTCTGCATGTCTTTTCAGGCCATTCGGTATGGTCTACCGAAAACAGCTAAACCTCCCACAGCTGATCCGGAAGGGATTCCTCCTGACGCCGTGACGGCTAACAGTGACTCCACCGCCAGCGTGGCGACCGCCCCAGTTCCTGATCTCGTCGTTAGCTCTTGTTTGCATCGCAGTGAGAGAGTGTCGGTCATGATGACACTGTTTCCCATAGACGATTTTTGTGAGAGAGGGTCGACTTACTTGGTGTAAAGGAAAGGCATGATCGTTGGTCTTTTGTTCGTAGTGGATTTTTGGCTGGGGGAGGGAGGTAGGCTAACGACGCGGCGAGGAGTGTTGGTTCGCGGTGTTCCTGATTGCAGAATGGTTTGGTAGTTCGAGTAACTCACGAAGAGAATGAGTGCTATTGGTACGGTCCAGATGCACGATGAGGGCCAAGTGACAGTAGAAGTGGATTGTGAAACGAGAGGTTACAGTGTAAGGGCCAGAAGATATCTTTCACTGGGGAAGTCGCAGCTGTTATATGCCAGCAAGTCAGTAAGTACAACCTGCAGAGGTTGGAAGAGTTCTTGGTATGACGCTCTGCAACATTCAAGTGACTCGGCATAAGGGGGCGTTTTGCCAAGGACATCAAGGTGCCAGTTTGGAGTGAAAGCAGGCTTTTTGGCTTTGCAACATGTCGAGATTGATTCGAGATGGGCAGTCGAACAAGAACCTGCCACCTCCAAGCCACGCGCCGTGTTGGAACTTGAAGATCAAATGACGTAAAGCGGCATTCAGCCTCGTCGTTCACGTGCCAGTCACGTTGATCATAAACAACGCCGCTTTTACCATGACCAGCAACAACCTCACCCAAGTTGCTTTGCTGTCACCACTATGTCTCCATCTTCAAAACAAAGGAAATCACCCTGATACTTGTAAGTCCTGCTAAGATGGATCCATTACTCCAAGCGCTACACTACTCCAAAGCGATCAGGCCAAGAGATGGTCAGCCTTAGAATATCCGACTTTCAGGCTTGGGACCCAATTACATGAAACGCGCTTCCCCTGGATTGCGCGAGGCTCTGCTACAAGATATCACACCACCTCAGCCTCCTGTCTGGCGACTCTGGTCGAATGGTTGCTGTCTGTGCCTCCCGCATGCTCTGCTCCAGGACGGTCTCTATCGCTGCTCTCACCACCAATGTGGCTCCTCAGTCCACTGCCCCCCGCTTCTTCGACCCCCCGTCTCAGGTGGTGGCTCAACATGTATCAGATCGTCGTCGCTTGGCCAGAGACGAGAACTTCATATGTCGCCATTCCCTCCTTATCACACCACTGTTGGTCGTCGCCTGTGGAAATAGTTAGGGCAAATATCCTTATAGATCTTCTGGGCTATCTGCCAAACATGGAATATGAACATGCCGCAGGCTCGGTTTTTCTCTGTCTTCTCTTTTTGCATTGTCAACTTTTTGCTTCATTAAGCTAACACTACCTCGAAGACGCCGCTGGTCGGTCCATAGCATTTCTTTTCTTGCATTTGACTGTCCGACTCGTCACACAATATCCCAAAAACCAACTTGGACGTCGGCTGGCCCCGTTCAACAGCAGACATAATCCCGCGATCGACTTGCCACGACGTCACACAGAGACCTTCAAGTCTTCAAGCATCTCGCTGGGGGCCCGTTTGCATACTCAACAACGCACACGCCTGACTTGTCGACGTTGCCAATCATGGCGGAAAGATCAAGGTCAACACCATTAATGCGAATGCTCCTCTCAGGAGAGGTCAGTGGAGAAGAGCCTAGAGATTTGTCTCCCAAAGAGAAGTTCAATAGATGGATGGTCAATGAAGGATCTCGCCGCCTGTTTGTCGGTATCTTTATACTCGCGCACTGCATGTTGTACGGCTTCGGCTTTATGAACTACCAGCTCAAGGACAACCTAACCAAAGCCCGCGCCACCTTCGGCTACGGTTATCCCATTGCTCGATCTGCAGCCCTGGTACTACACTTCGACGTCGCCTGCATTCTTCTACCGGTCTGTCGAACTCTCATATCGCTCGTTCGACAAACGCCGCTGAACGGAATCATTCCCTTTGACAAGAACATTACGTTTCACAAACTCGTGGGCTTTTCGATTGTGTTCTTCACGTGGGTCCACACTATCGCTCATTTACACAACGTGGCACAACTCTCTGCAAAGAACAACGGAGGCTTCATCGGTTTCGTCAAACTCAACTTTCTCACAGGCCCCGGCTGGACCGGCTACATTCTCACAATCACCATCATGCTCATGTTTTTCACCGCCCTCGAAAAGCCTCGACGGGCCAATTACGAGCGCTTCTGGAATACCCATCATCTCTTTGTCATCTTCTTCATCTTCTGGTCTATCCACGGCGCTTTCTGCATGATCCCGGCAGACAACAAACCGTTCTGTTTCGGCAACGGCTCCTTCTACCTGTACTGGATGGTAGGGGGGTTTACTTATCTCGTGGAGCGTGTCCTACGCGAAATCCGTGGCTATCAGAAGACTTATATAACCAAGGTGATTGAGCACCCCTCGAACGTGGTCGAAATCCGGATCAAGAAAGAGCACACCAAAACCCGGGCAGGCCAGTACATCTTCCTATGTTGTCCGGAGATCTCACTCTGGCAGTACCATCCATTTACGCTCACGTCTGCGCCCGAAGAGGACTATCTCTCTGTCCATATCCGCATGGTTGGCAATTTCACCAGAGCCCTAGGGAAAGTACTCGGATGTCAAGGTCTCAGAGCGATCGACGACAAGAAAGGCCCATACTCTGAAGACGTGTCTACAATTGACCAGAATGGTCAGAAGTTCACCAAACTTCTCCCGCGCCTGTACATCGACGGGCCCTTTGGATCAGCCTCGGAAGACGTCTTCAAGTTCGAGACCGTGCTCTTGATCGGCGCGGGTATTGGGGTGACGCCATTCGCCTCGATCCTCAAGTCCATTTGGTACCGCATGAGAGACGCGGGATCCTCTGCTCCGAGGACGCGACTGCGCAAGGTGTACTTTTTCTGGGTGTGCCGAGATTTTGGATCGCTCGAGTGGTTCAAGTCTCTGCTCGCGGCGATTGAGAACGAGGACAAGAGCCACGCCATTGAAATTCATGCGGTACGACGCACGTTCTTTTCCCCCTCCCCCCTTCCTTATTGTCCCTTTTTGAAACTCCCACTAACACGTTCTTTCAGTACTTGACCGCCAAAATCACCGCCGCCCAAGCATCCAACATCGTCCTGAATTCCGGAGACACCGACGCCATCACGGGCCTCCGCACCGCGACCAACTACGGCCGCCCGAACTGGGACATGGTGTTTCGCGGCATCCGCAAGATCCACTGGCCGGGCGAGTGCGGCGTCTTCTTCTGCGGTCCAAAGGGCCTGGGGGCGGACCTGCACGTCAAATGTAACATGTACACCGAGGCGGGGGATAAAGGGTTCAGTTTTGTTTGGGGCAAGGAGAATTTCTAGACGGCGACAAAAAACAAGTCGATGTATCGGGGTATAGGAGTATGAATACGGTTACAACTATGAGTATGTATTATTATGTGCCTGCCTGCCTGACTGCCTGCTGCCTTTCTCTTTTCTGTTTCTGTTTCTGTTTCTGTTTCTGTTTCTTTTTCTTGTTTCTTGTTTCTGTCGTGACTCCGAATGGCGTCTTGTCCTTTATCCTCGTCCTTGTTGATCAATATAACACGACATCCTTCGCTCAAGAGCTCTCCTCTTTGAGATATACTCGGCACGGTAGACCTCGACATTCGATGTGAAGTGAGGTGAGATGATGTATCCACGACACACACGAGAGCACGGCAATGGAGAATTTCTACTCAAGGATTCATTCCTCATTTCTTCCCTGCTTCGTTGTATTCCCCTCTTCCAGAGGACGTCGTCCATCAGCCTCGTGTGTACCGAGTACTCGGAACCAACAACGGTGACTACATGGCCACGATGGCTCGACAAGACTATCCGGTATCCTTTATTCCACCGCTTACCACTGCTGCAGCAGCAGTTACAGAGGTTAAACCGCGCCTTGGGTATTCCCACAAGTTCCTTCGCAGAAAAAGCAATGCCAGTCAGATTACTGTAAATAGTGTAACTCGTCAAGCATTATTTCATTCATACACATATACCCAGTGCTAGGAGGGCCAGCGGGTCAGAGAAAATCAACATGGTCCTCGCCAGCACTAGCAATGGCATCACCACTATCACCAGCAATATCTTCCACCACGAGACCTTGTATACAGTCATCATCTGTCCGCTCGGCTCAAACTTCTAAGCACTCCCCCAAGATCTCTTGGGGGGCTGGTCCCCGATCGTACTCCCAGCGCTTTCTTCGTCCCTTCTTTTTCTCGCTGTGTCAATTTCTCGGCGCATATGGCTAAAGCTCTTCCTGCCACGCCGTCTGCTGCGGTTCGATACTGCGCTATCCTGTGGATTCCGTCTGCGAATTTGTCGACTGTCGGGCCTATCGATTCCAAAATATCACCTAGGCGCCGTGATATTTGATCCACGGTTGGCGAGGCCTGGGGAGCTATTGAGTCCAGGGCAGTTGCATCCGCCTCGTCCAGGAGTGTTCTGTCTAATTGATTTGCTTGCGATGGGCTGGTTGGCACGTCAAGTTCCTGCAAGCTGGGTATCTTGGGAGGTCGTAGTAAGTTCTCCAGTGCCTCTTTTTCGGATCGCAAGCTGCCATCACCATTAGCATCGTGTCCACAACGTCTGCCGGCTCGCATGTCTCACCGTTTAATCTGCTCCTCCAATTCGGCAATCTTTTCAATGTTCTGCGTGTTCTTGGGATTCGGCCGTTCTGGAAGTGGTTCCGATGGCACGGGTACTTCTTCGCGGCCAAACCAGTCCGACAGATCGGATCTGTTCGCCAGCTCTTTCAGTAACTCTTCTTCGATCACTCGAGCTGTCAAAAAGTTAGTATGGCAGATGAATTCGAGCGATTTCAGGGCCGCAAACCTGCTTGTATTGCGCTGGCCTCCCCAAATCCCGCACCTAATGGCTTTTCGTCAAGAGCACGCTCGGCGCACCAGATGAGAAGTTGTTTCATCCGTCTAGGCTCCGGGAGACCCTCACTTTCGATGTGCTTGTAATAGTCCGATACATCCAGTTCGGGATGAGGCAAGGCTTCATGGAGAGTTAGTAAATGCTGACTACTGAGCTGGAAATGCTCACCACTGGAGTTCCCTGAGTCGATGAGGGAACTCGCCCTTCGCCCGCGCATGCCCAAGCTACTCCTTCTTTCGCCCTTGCCGGCTTTGCCCTCTCGCATGGCTTTATTTCGTTTGATGACAGGCGTGTCCGCAAAAGGTAGCGCAATCTTGGTCGAAGCATGTACCTGTTGCTCTGTAGAAGGAGCGTCCTCTTTTGGATGTTCTTGTCGCTTCGGAGGTGGTTCGTCCACCTTCTTCTCTGGCGACAGTTTGGGGGGATCTTTAACATTATATTTGCGCTTCTTCGTTTCATCCCTGCGCTCGCTTTTCTCGACAGGGTTTCTATCTTGTTGTTCGTTATCTTTGGATAAGCGCTTTGAGCGACGCCGGGGGGGATCTTCCTTGGGAACGGGTGTTGGGAACGAGGTTCCATCCTTTCGTTGTGAGGGTTTTCGCTTCGTCTCTTCATTCTTTGCGCTTTCGGTCCTGTCACCCGCCGGTTGAGGTATAGGCGCATCGCCCTGGGGTGATGAGCCATCTCTCCCTTTCTCTATTTGTTTCCGTGGAGGCGGCTTCTTTTTGACGCGTTTAAACTGAAACCCATCATCCTCCTCGTCATAATCTAAGAGTCAATGTAAGTCCTTCTGCTCGCATTTCGCCTGGGTCCCTCCGTTGTTTACATACCCATTTTCCTTTTCTTCTCATTACGGGCTGTGGCTGCTTGCGCAGCTACCGTATCGGAAGCGCTAACAGTGGTCTTCGCATTTCGGTTCCCTTGTTCCTGGGTTGAATAGACTGTCGCGTCATCTTTCTGGTGATTTCGCGCGCTTAACCTTCGAGTCGGCCTTTGGATCGATGACATTGGCAGAGTATGTAGCGGATGACGCGCAATTAGCATTGTGATTTGAGGGTTGGAGGTGGGCGAGGGAGTCGGATCCCGCGTTTGTTGGTGGATTGAGTCGCATGCGCAGGCGCGGAGTTGAGTCGATGGTTAAAATCTAGGGGATTTCATTATAACGATATCTCTGCTAAAGAGTGATCGGACCGCAGCGCATTCGAGGAGGGGCGGGCGTGGTAATTGGCGTGAAAACGGGATTGAAGGTGGTGTTCAGCACTGAAGCGGCTTGCATCGCGGGCTTGTTGGATTGTTTACAGTCTGGGGCCGAGCCCGCCAATCACAGTGTTAGACGCCGCTTTTACGCACAATTGTACCAGTACCGCAGTCTCCTGCGCTCCCTCTTCAACCATTGACTTGCACTGCAGGCTCAGTTCACGATCAACAGCGATCCAGGATCTGTGCGCGGCGCTCTCTTCTCGTGTTTCACCTGCCTAGCTACCTTTCGCTACATACTTGTAGTGACAATCCCCCAACGATGACCTTCAATTCACCTCGGATGAACACAGCCTCCATCGCTCGTTCAGAAACCTCTGCACCGCCACAGACTTTGCGACATACGACTTGACCTTTTCGCTTGGATTGAGAGTCTCGGAAAGACATATTTGACCAAGATCCTGACCGGCAGAGACCACTGTGGAAGAGACCAGTTGCACCTCCCGACTCCAGCCATCGGGCGATAACCTGCCCTGCACATGGAGGCGCAGAAGCTGTGCGTGCAGACAAGCCTGGGTAACGGCTGAGGCTGGGTGAGGCCTCTGACCGGCAGCGGCATCCCCGACCAGCATGACCTTTCCACCTCTAAAGGTATTCTCGAGCGCTAGAGAATCTGTGATCACTTGAACAAACGGGTTTCTGGTCTTGGTCACCGCTTCCGCAAATTGTGGCGAGAGTTCATTCTGCGCGTGTGCCCTCATCTCGTCAGATAACCGTGTACACATGCCACCAGGTGGCAGTGTGAAACAGTGCCTGACGCTGTTCACGTCTGTCATTAACTCTGCCAGTTCTTCATCCGTCTTCCTCATGTACCAACCCCAGTTGACCAAGTTGTGGGAGTCTGGAGGGCCGACTTTGCTGGCTGGAACGGTGTAGGAGAGCATTTGGGAGTTTTGGTTGAAGCAAAACGTGGCAGACAAGTCCATGACCTGCTTCGCGTCAACTGAGATATCCTCAACCGGTACGAGTCCCCGGAACAGCACGTATCCAGCATAGGTGCGCCTCGTATCCGGGAGCATAATGTCCCGCACCCTGGATGAAGCCCCATCTGCGCCGACAACGAGATCCGTGGGCAAGGTCTCCTCCTTGCCAGCGTCGTTTACGAGATGGATCTGTGCTCTGTCGTTGCACTCGGTCACATCCCGTACGTTGCAGGAATAGCGATACGTGGTCGAAGGTGTCTCGTCACCACTCCTCTCTGTAAATGCGAGCATTAACACGCGGAATAGCTGAGTCCAGGTGGTCGCACAATTGTTGACGATGTCTCTGTGAATGATTATTCTGCCTTCCGCGTCGAGAATATTCAACGAGTTGATCGGAATGCCGTAACAACTCATGGGTGCATTTGCATATCTCTGGAGAAATTCTCCGACCTCGTCCCCAATGCGAATTCCAGCTCCCTGGTCTTGTAACTGGCTTGACTGTTGACGTTCTAAAACAGTGATCGAACCAATTTCAGGGAGAGTCTTCAGCGCAACACCGACGCAGAGGCCTGCAATGGATCCTCCTACCTGCGATTATGAAAGTGATCAGACGCCATTCATGACTTCTAGGAACAAGGAATTTGGGGCCTGGCCCTGAGGTTTGAGTACAGGGTTTGACTTACGATCACCACATTCAGACGACGCGGCACACTCATGAATCGGCCGGCCGTGTCACAACTCCACAGAAGGTATACCTGATTTCAGGTTTATCGCAAATGAACAGACACTTCTCGGAGCGAGCTGAGGGCTACCTCGCTTTTAAGCCTTGGAAGTATAGATGTGGTGAGGCCCTGGCCGATACCCTGGTTACTGAAATTCAGCCAACTGGTGCCAAACCAATGTGGCATAACACGTCGGAATAGAATGTCTCAACTGTCGTATTCAGATACGATGCAGAATCTAGGCCTCCAATTGAACAGCAATGTAAGCAAAGAATCAGGCTATCAATCCTCTCTAGGGTGGAGTACCCGTAGGACACACCAGTTGAGCTGACCCATGCATGGATTATACGATAGATGCGCTCTTCATCCCACCCTAGCCCGATTTCTTCAGCCTCGCCCTTCGTATGCGCCCAGAGCTTATCGTATATCCATCCCACAAAATACGGTTATCCTTCAGCCCCTTTCCCATGTCACAGATGCTTTTATTTATAGTTGTTGAAAGGGGAGTCTAGACCAAGGATCGTCGCACAGGATTTCATGGCTTCGGCGGCTGATAGACTGTGTCGAGATCCTTTTGATCTGCCGACTCCTTCCCTGCTGGGTTATCGACAGAAGAGCCTGATGCTTCCTTTGAGGGTTCAGCCGTGCTGGCCACGGGGGCCGAGAGGTCTGGCGAATCATGTTTCGCTGGTTCCTCGGCTGTCTTGGGCTCAGAAGGTCTTGTGGTTGAGTCGGCAGTCCTCTCGAGGTTGAAGTTCGTGGCTGGCGGAGGAGATGTGGATTGGCCTTTGTTGGAAGGACTCAGGAGAATGTCATCAAAGGTTGGTGACCTGGTGATTTTTGCGCTGCCTTGCTCGAGTATCTGAGGGGGAACAGCTGCACCGACTCTGGGCTGATTGCGCTTGAGGCCGGGGTCTGGATCTCCAGATTCCTCATCCGCCCCGAAAAGAAGACTTGTCTTTTTGATCGTTCTGGAGAAATTCGCGTTAGCTCCAAACAAAGCACGATACGGCATCGAGGAAGGGTCGAGACTCACTCTTGAATGGAACCCATTGCTGTGGTCGGCGAAGGAAGAGATTCCCACACCGACGAATACCAAGGTTTTTGGCTTGACCTTCTTTGTCCTTGTCCCCTCTCTGAGAGATCGAGCGGTTGCTGGGCCTCTCTCGCCAAAGCAGGGCCTCGTCCTGCCCCATCGCTTCGGTATGCCGGTGCCCGGCTGTAATACTGCGGTTCGTCATAATCCTCGATGTTCAGACTCTCGAGGGCGCCCGCGGCGACGCTCGAGTACATGTCCGGCTCGGGGTTTGAAGGGACGGCGTATTCAGGCCGGGGGTGAGCCGTGCTGCGTACAATGGACCGGACGACCCACGGATTCGGTCTTCCCGGCTGGTACCGCGAGGGACCGAACACTTTTTCCAGTTCGATCCGGACGCGGACACGCGAAGGGTGCTGGGTTGCGGAACTGGTGTGTTCGAACCGCAGCAATGCGTTGCCAATGTGTCTCAGGCAGCTTTGGATGGTTGAGTCGCCGGGCCGTGCGTTATCGCGGGATCCGGTCGCATTGAGGGCGGGTTGATGATTTTTCCGAGCTTCCTCGTTTGCGCGGAGCATGTTTCCTAGCAGCGTCCTTGAGGAGGCGTTGTCGTCGTCGTCGTCGTCGTCGTCGTTGTGGTCCTTGGACGAGCTCTCCTTCCTATACACATGTGACACAAACAAATTAGTTAGATAGTTGATTCTCTTCCCTCATAGGGTCTCTTGTTTTGTCAGAGATCCCCTAGTGGGGGGGGAGGGGGGGCTAGAAAACATACTCGTCCGTCGAATCCGCCGCGTTTAACAGGTCACTAAGCATCATCAGGAGCGTCCTCTTGATCCGGTCCAGGTTTCCGCCGAGGTGGTCTATTTCTCATTTGTTAGAAAAGAAAAATCATTGGAGCTTGTGGCCCAGACAGAGAGGAAGTCAGTTGGAGCGGGATTAGCTAAACTTACCCATTTCCATGATCACGGCTCCCTTTGACGACGACGACGAGCTCTCCACGGCTCTCGCGACCAGGGCGTCCATATCCCTAAACACGGTTCCGCACTCGACCACGATCTCCTTGGCTATCTTCAACGTCGCGTCCGAGTCCGAGTCCGCGTCGGCGTTGGAGTCCAGCTTGGCCTTGCCATTATCATGGCTTTCGTGACTATCGTCATGATCATGATCCTGGGGTTTCAGGTTCGCGCGTAGTTCCGCCAACACCGAGCATGTCAGCGACACATCCCGAGCAAGGTCTCTAGCCTTGTACGAGGCGGAGGACGTGATTGTCGTAGAAGAAGATGAGGAGGAGGATGAGGCCGAGGAGGCCAAGGGAGTGGTAGTGATAGCGACGGTCTCGGAAAAGGTGTACAGCGCGATGGACAGCCTGGTGCCGACGCCGGCGACTCGGGCGATGGTGTCAACGAGGTCGACTTGAGCCATTTTGTTTTGCCCTCTTTCTCTCTCTCCCTATATCTTGCCGATTCTCGATTCTCACAACAGAGACGTAATAGAGATGCTCAGACGTTGAGAGGATGACAGCGGTGATGAAGATGATGATCCTCCGAAAGAAAAATAAGATTGCCTCTCCGGCTGACGGCCTGACGCTCTGTTCTTCTCAGCCCCTTTTAACCGTCCGCTATCCTCTGTAAATGATACCTCGTCCCGGACGTCGAATAAAGTAATGGCCACGGTTCACACGGACAGACATACGCCCCTCGTACAAAAACCTACGAGTATGTATGTGATATAACCCGGGATAGGTATCTACCTGGCGAGCTGGGTACCAGGGCTATTTATACTGTAAGCTGAAATCCTGTACTACTGCACTACTTGTACTAACTGCTAGTGTACTAACTCTAAACACTTATGGTCTGTTCCAAACGAAGCTGACTAAAGAAGAAAAAACGGCCCCCGCGTACTATTTTCGGTCTCCGGGAGACAGTTACGAGCTAGCGAGTAGTACCTCTTACAAGTCTACCGAATAACCTCGTACCTTCCCGATCATCGCACAGAACGAGGGTATATGGATAAGGGATTCTTCGTGAGTGCTCAGTAATGGGAGGAAACCCCCCTCCGAGGGCTCGCAATTATTGAACATTGAGATTTCCTTTGTCACCTGGCGATCCAGAAAATTTTCCTTTGGCGTTCTACATTCTGCGTGCTGGGTGCGGAGACATGGAATAACAGGACAAGAAGGAGGAAGATGAAAGACATAGATACTCGGTACTCTGCAAAGAGACTTTTGATGCACCGTCATGACCGCCGAGGATAATAACCTTTGCAATCTGGTCGAGGGATCGACATACTGAATTCATGGAGCGAGCATGGCGGAGACAAGTTTTTCCGGTCCACGAGTCGAGAGAGCGGGAACATTACCTTTTTCATTGCCGAAAAGGTGGGCTATGCTTGGCTGTGGCTGCGGCGCCTCAGGCGCACACGAAGGCTGTGCTCGCAGCTTTTGATCGCTCATTGGATGAAACCCAGGAGAGATGATGTCACCGACGACGCCCCGTGCCGAGCCCTGGCAAGCGGAAAGAGTCAAGATAGGACTGTCTTTATGTGGGTGTATAGTGCAACGGCCAAATTTCCCTAACAAAAGAACCACGAAATTCTGACAACCCCTGGTGGTAGCTTCTCTTCCCACATACTGAGCACTGAGAGATCCAAGAAACTCGTTTAGACCTTTCGGTTTCTCTTCAGCTTCATGCCAGATGACCAAGACAAGGCATACTCGCTGGTGTCGTCACCTCGTCATGCTCTTATCAAGGTATATAAGTTTCTCTCGAGACGCGGGCGATTCCTGCCCTTTGATCCAGATCAAATTTTCCTACCTTGACATTCTTCACTTTACTTGATCTTCTGTTCAGAGACATCATGGTTTCAGAACCAACGTTGGGCGAGCGAAGACGACATTACTCGTCCCGGATCCAGGGACCTCCTCCATTAATCACCCAACAACAGCCTCATAAATGGCCACTAGAACGCCCAAAGAACAAGACTCGGGTGTTGACTACGCGTTCAGGAAAGCTCTCGTATGTCGACAGTGCTCAGGGCGTCATCAATCCCCGGAATGAGCCTTACAAGGCCATCTTCAAATCCGTCGCTGGATACGACAAACTCCCCCTGCCAAGGTCGCATCAAGTCATGTACACAAGCCTGAATTTGCGCAAGTACCTGGATCGAACCCACTGCTTGATGCTGCTTCACGCGCTGTCCAAGCAGAGAGTCAAGATATGGTTACAAATTGGGAATAGACCCATGTCCATTGTCCACGTTGACCAGGCCACAGTCCTGATCCTTTCCATTGCCTTGCGCTCTAGGTCGGGGGAAAGGGCCGAGCTTGTCGGTGAGCTGATTGGTCTGACCCACCCAAGAACCCTGGAGTACCTTGCCAGATACATCCGGCCACCACTGTGTGACGCCTCAATCATCGCCAGCCTCGTCAACGCCACGGTGCGACAGTACACGCAACCCCGCCGCGCCAACAATGGAGAATTCGGCTCGTTTCAACTCTTCAGACTCGTTCCCCCGATCATCGCAGATCTCCTCATGAAACTCGATCAGAGAACCACCACCAACTTCCTGAAAGGAGTCTTGACCAGACTGATCACCAGTCACCCAAACGAGCACAAAGAGCGAGGCATGAAACTTGGGCTCCTCCTGGTCGGGATTCGAAAAGCGCTCCGTCGATTGCTGGAAACCGACAAGAAGAACCGCTCGCGCTTCGAGTTATTGGTCGACTGTGTCTTTGGACTATTGTCCAGTGCAGGCCCCTTGGGCATGGGCGGCGCGCTGACAGTCGTTCAGCTTCTCGTCAAGGAGGTTTGGAAAGCAAAGGGGGACCTCAGGGAGAGGAAGCTCAGGGAACTCTGGGAGAGCATAGTCTCGCAGGCGGATATCTTGATTGAGAGGAATCTGGCGAGCGATAGATACAAGATTCGCAATTTCCACACCTGCAGATCGTGGATGAGGAAAGTGGACAGTGAATGGCCCATTTGAGTGAGGGCGAGGGGAGTTTGCTGCTACTGCTACTGCTACTGCTACTGCTACTGCGCGTGTGTTTCCTCCTCATTTCTCTAGACTAGACCGTCTGTGAACTCAACGTTGATACATATGGTATTTGCTTTTTTCTTTTGCGATGGATGATACCCCTGGCGGTGGCCCCTCTTACACGCATTCGAACAGTAACAATCTTCATTTTTATGTAGACTATTTCCAAGAAAAAAACTCGTCATGCTCTTTGATAGTCCATCGTGTCACCGCACCAGGGGTGATAGACTACGATGGCGACACAAAGATTTGGAAATCAGCACACGCAGATTCTGCGAGCAGGTAGGTAGGTGTCTAGATATCTAGGTACCTGCGAGGTACGGGAGTGTCTGTCTATCACTTCGAGGAGATGGGATGCGTGTGGTGGCGGTGGTGTTACGCACTGCTCGTACTTGTGCATGGTACATAGTGATGTAGCTACATGGCTAGGTATTGGGCATGGACAAGCATACATACAAACATACACATTCCTCCCCACACACCTCCGATCATATATTCCCCAGTTCCAGCAGCCCCAGACCCAGCCCCGACCCCGTTCTCTTCATCTTTTACCTCACTCTCTCTCTCTCCATCTCTCACGCTCTACAATCAACCAGGATCTTGACATGCTTGTCCTTGTCCTCGATCAGCGGCCGGAACCCGTCCTCGGCCACGCGATTGATTTTGATCTTGCTCGTGATCATTTTTTGTGGTTGCAAAGAGTTGTCGGCGAGAGCGTTGATGACTCCCGCAAAGTCGGATTGGAGGTAGCCCAGGACTAGCGTATAGCAGATCAGTCACAGAATGGTGTGTGTAGATGTACATCACGACACAGTGAATGGATGGATGGATGAATGCTCGGGCTTCAGACCAGCTACCAAGTCTGCGAATAGCCTCCTCCTCGAATGAAAAAAAAGGGAGAATGAATTCAAAAAGGCATGAAGTGGGAATGATATGACTTACTCGCAAAGTATTTCTTCTCTCCGAATACAAGGGTATTGGGTTGGAACGGTACCTGTCACTCCGTAATAAAAAATCAGCCTCGTCAAAACTCCTCTTTACTCACCTTCTTGCCGTCTCCCGAACCTCCACCGCTGTCGTGGCGGCCCCTGCACTTGAAGGCGACAACGCAGGGAGATACATACCTCTTTTTCCCAGATCGCCAGGTTCACAATCGTGCCGCGCGCCCTCACCGCCAACGCCGAATCCCTCAAACTGGCCGGCACGCCCGCCGCGTCCAACGCGACATGCGGTCCCCGACCGTTTGTGATTTCCTTGCTCCTCTTGACCACGTCCTCGGTCCTCGGATCGATCACATGCGTCGCGCCAAATGCCCGGGCAAAGTTCTGCCGCTCCTTTGCTATCTCGACCACGATGATGGTGCCCGCGCCGCGGGCCTTGAGGCATTGGATGACCCCGAGACCGATGGGGCCGGCACCCATGACGAGCGCGGCATCGCCTTTTTTCAAAGGGTACTACATGCATAGATTTCGCATCAGCATCACACACGACTCCTTGAACAAAAGACCACGTAAATCTCATCCGTCTTCTCCTCGAAAAAAAGTGTCTGTGAAGGACCTTATTCTTACCTGGTCAACCGCATGCCACGCCACGGCCAACGGCTCTACCAGCGCACCCACGTCCAAACCGACATGGTCCGGCAACTTGAACACAAACTGCGCATCGACGCAGACATAGTCGCTCATTCCGCCGCCGCCGCCGCTCAGCCCGACAAACCCGGCCGAGTCGCAGCAGTTGATGTAGCCGTCGTGGCAAGGGCCGCAGTGGAAACAGGCCAGGGTGGGCTGCACGGCGACCTTATCCCCGACCTTGAGGGACTGGCCCTGGAAGTTTGGGTGGGATGCCGCCGAACTGCCGATTTCGACAATCTCCCCGGAGAATTCGTGGCCGATGGCGACGGGCATCACCTCTTTTGTCAGGGGGTGGGGAGAGTTGGGTTGTGGGATGAATGTCGGCGACGAGTATTCGTGTACTAAAACGATGGTAAGTTTGAAATGGTTCATTCAGACTGACTGTCCTTCCTGGACCACATGTGTTGCCCATTCAGAAGTGATGATAATAGCTAGCCAGCTAGCTCGACTCGTTTCAATCCAATCTCGAGCCAGAGGACAAGAACGTATAGGACGAGGGAATAACTCACAATCCGTTCCACAGATCCCACAAAAAGCAGCTGCCAAAGCGCGCAATCACAATCCATCAGCTTTTCATCGTCCAGAGACTGCGAAATACAAGACAACAAGACGATTGACTCCCTGCTAGATGGTCCATGGTCCATGATCCATGATCCGTGACCCGACCCATCCAGGATGATGCGTAGACTCACGCTTGACCTTGATCTGGTTCTCGCCGCATTTCGGTTCGGGAATGTCGTTGTCGACGCGGAGGTCTTT